GTCTCACTTCTGATCGTTTCTCCAACTTGCCAGCCTCCTGCACTATGACATGTGCAAGGCAACCCCAAATTCGAATTTGTGAGAAACTAGGCTTGCGCCCTTTCCACAACTCATAAGGAGTACTGTCTACTGATTTTGAAAGAGAATTCAGAATGTAACATGTTGTCTCTAATGCAAATCCCCAAAACGAATCTGGTAACTTCGAATAACTCATCATCGACCTAACCATTTCCATAAGAGTTTTGTTTCTTCGCTCTGCAACCCCGTTCTGCTGGGGCGTGCCGGGTGCAGTCAGCCTGGGATTCAATCCCTGCTTCTGATAGGTATGTCCTAAAATCTCCAAAGAGGTGTTTGCCTCCACGATCAGATCGAAGACACTTGATACTTTTACCTTGTTGTTTCTCCACAACTGTCCTATACTCCTTGAATTTTTCAAAGCATTTCGGACTTGCGGTGCAACAAGTAAATGTACCCATATCTAGAATAATCATCAATAAAAGTGACGAAATACTCATAGCCTCCTCTAGCTTGGATCGACATAGGACCACACAAATCAGAATGAATCAATCCTAGCACTTCTCTGCTCCTTCGCCCTTTTGCCGAAAATGGCCTCTTGGTCATCTTACTTTCTAGGCAGGACTCGCAAGTCTGGTAATGATCTTCTACTGGACCAAGATGCCTAGTAGATACCAACCTTTGGATCCTCCTAAGGTTATTGTGCCCAAGCCTAAGGTGCCAATGATATGCTTGATTCATCGAAGACTCTTTTCTCTTATTAGTTTAAGTCGAGACATTATTCGATTCATTTTGTTGCAGTGTGGGAGACTTTGGTTTTAGAACATATAAATTGCCAACCATTGAACCAGAACAAATCAAATGATTACAATAACGAATAACAACTGAGTTATTAAACGAAAATGAATAACCATTCAAAACGAGTTTAGAAACTGAAATTAAATTATTCCTTAAACTTGGAACAAAAAGACAATTGGTCAAAACCAAAATACTAGCATCAAATACTAAAGTAACTACTCCCACTGCAACTGCTGCTACTTTCGTAGCATTGCCCATGTAGACTGTAATCTTTCCATCCCTAAGCCGCTTGGTTTCCTGGAACCCCTGCAAAGAATTGCAGACATGATCAGTGGCTCCAGTATCTACACACCAGGTACTGGTAGATACAACCGCTAAACATGTTTCTATGACGAAAGTATGAGAGTTACCTTCTTTGCCCTTCTTGAGGAGAGGACAATCGACCTTCCAGTGCCCTGACTTATTGCATTTGTGGCATCTACCTTTCGGCTTCTTTGCCACAGCCTGTTGAGGCACTAACTGGGTGCTCTGTGCCTTTGCCTTTCCTGCAGCCTTCTTCCTCTTCCTGCCCTTGTGAGGCCTGAAAGGTCCGGATTGCTCGGCAACCATCACAACTGATTTCTGAGTGAACAAGGCCTCAGCCGACTGGAATTCTGACAACAGTTATGGAAGAGCCATATGCATCTTGTGCATGTTATAGTTCAACCGGAACTTATCAAAACTCTTCGGCAGAGATTGGAGCATGATATCGACCTGGGTTTCCCGTCAATAAAACCTCCAAGA